CTCCTCCTGCACCCCAACTCCCTGCCCTGAGCCCCCTGCTACATGCCACACCCCTCCTGCACCTCAACTCCCTGCCCTGAGCCACCACCGCACCCTGCACCCTTTCTGCATCCCCTGGGGGCAGCGTTGGGGTGGGGACTTTGGGAAAGGGGTTGGAATGGGGTAGGGAAGGGGTGGGAAGAGGTGGAGTAGGGCCTAATGGGAGGGGTGGAGTGGGGGCGGGGCCAGGGGCAGCGAGGGTGTGTGTCAGTGATGAGGTCCTTGGTTCAATGCACTAGTCCTCATGTGGCCCTCGTAGTCATTTGAATTTGAGACCCCTGTGATAGATGTATTTGACCCCAAGATCCTGTCTGCACCAGCTCCTGACAGGAAGAGTGAAAAGACCAGGTTGGGTTCCCAAAGAGGAAGGGAAGGAGGCTACCACTGCTTACACAAAATTACCTATACAAATTAACTGCTGAAGTTACAAATAATGTTTGTTAAAATAGTAACTGAAATTCTGCAGCGCAAGTGTTAAAAATGCTAGGCAACTGCCAAGAGCCAACTGTGAACTACAACCTAAAAATCTCTCCACTACCAACTCATTCTTAATTACGATAATTTTTACAGCACCAGATGTGTTCTAGAGAATTTACAGAACAAACAGAAAGGCATGTCCCTGCATTAAAGAACCTGAAATCTAAACACAGAACCAAAACATTCAAAATACTGTTCATATATTACACACAGCTTCCAGTAATAACTTAATTATAAAAATCACTATTGCTAAATGACATTGAAAAGCCATTAGAAAACAATCACACATGACCTGGTCCCACAACACTTAAGCACAAGTTTATTCACAAGTCCGTGTATCTTATATAACAGGGATTGGCAACCTTTGGCACGCGGCACGCCAGGGTAAGCACCCTGGCAGGCCGGGCCAGTTTGTTTACCTGCCGCATCCGCAGGTTCGGCCGATCGCGGCTCCCACTGGCCGTGGTTCGCCACTCCAGGCCAACGGGGGCTGTGGGAAGCTGCGGCCAGCACAGCGATCGGCCGAACCTGCGGACGCGGCAGGTAAACAAACCGGCCCGCCAGGGTGCTTACCCTGGTGGGCCGCGTGCCAAAGGTTGCCGATCCCTGTTATACAGCAAAGGAACTAGATTTTTCCAATATTCTAGAATGCATCTTTTAATTACGTCTTTCATATCTGTGCACAATTTAGAACTGCAGTTGGAGTGGATACTTTCTTACAAAGATCCTGGGCAAATTTATAAGTGGTTTTAAACAGTGGTTCTCAACCTTTTTTCATTTGCAGTCCTCTAAAAAATTTTCAAATGGAGGTACGAACCCCTTTGGAAATCCTAGACATAGTCTGCAGACCCCCAGGGATCTGCAGACCACAGGTTGAGAACTACTGGGTTAAAACAAAACATATGAGCTAAAACAGCACTTCTCCTCCTCCTCTCTTTCCACTTCCCTATTGGGGGTCAGCAACTTTTATAGCCTTCTTTCAAAACTCATGAGGTGTATGTCAGGGTCTTGTGCAGATTGGGCTCACTGTACTCTGCTGATATCTGGTCCACATACTGAGTCTTTGTTTCCTCCTTGGTCATCTTCTAGCCACAACAATTGCAAGAGCTCTGCTGCTGATAGAGCTCTCTCGTCTCCACTGATATGCCCATACCAACAGAGCCCTGCCTCCCTCAAGTTGTGCTCAATTGGAGCAACCTGCCTTTAGGCCCCTTACAACCTCATTTCACTTCCTATCATGGAGCGTCCAACCATCTGACCATGTCAACATCTTCATTTCCATGGTGGAGAGCATATTTAGAGCCCTGCAAATTTGCAGATATCTGCTTTATATCCACAGATCATTTTTGCAGATTGCGGATTGGATACGGATACAAATTTTGTATCCGCAAAGGGCTCTAAGCATACTGATTTCTTGCGACTGATCAAGTCTCTGTTCCATGGATTAAGATGTGTCAAATTACAGTTTTATACAGTCTATCTTAACTTTACTGGCATTGTTTTGTCACAGAGAACTGGGATCTGCTCCTGCCATTTGCACCACACAGCTTTATGCTGGATATCACTCAGGAGGACACCATCATCAGCAACCACTGATCCTAGTATTTAAACTATTTCACTCTTCTAAGCTTTCTGCTTGTGATATCCTTTACAGAGAGTCCTTCTCCCTCAGTTATCATAGCCACAGTCTAACCCATGTTCACTTTAAGTCCAGCCTGCTCAAAACTATGTTGCTATTATTCAAAATTGACTTGCAGGATCTCCCAATCTTCTGCACATATCACTAGGTCATCAGTGAACCGCATTTTCCAAAGCAGTTCTTTGTAGACTCTCACTTTCCACATCCATGAGAACTGCAAATAAAAAGAGGATCAATGCTGATCTCTGATGCAGGCCAATGCTTACAGGAAATTCTCTAACATAGCCCCATTTAGTTTTGACTACGGTAGTCACTCCATCATACATATCTTCGATAGGATGGACATACCCTTCTGGCACACCTCTCCATCACAAAATCCACCAAACTAGTTCTCATGGTACATGATCATACACCTTCTATAGATCCACAAAGACCATAGCCAATTGCCATCTCTTTTCTCCAAACTCTTCCGGGGGGGGAGGGATAGCTCAGTGGTTTGAGCATTGGCCTGCTAAACCCAGGGTTGTGAGTTCAATCCTTGAGGGGGCCACTTAGGGATCTGGGGCAAAATCAGTACTTGGTCCTGCTAGTGAAGGCAGAGGGCTGGACTCAATGACCTTTCAAGGTCACTTCCAGTTCTAGGAGATAGGATATCTCCATTAATTTAAAAAAAAGGATTTGTAGCACAAATATGGCATCAATTCTGCTCCTTCTTGACATGAAGCCATACTGACCCTTCTAAGGGTAGGTCTACTCTACCCGCCCGATTCGGCCGGTAGAGATCGATCCCAGAAGCGCTCCCCTGTCGACTGCAGAACTCCTGCTTGCTGAGAGGAGGAAGCACTGTCGACGGGGGAGCTTGCCTGCGCCACGGGGACCCGCAGTAAGTAAATTTAGTTCAATCTAGGAAACGTCAACTGAAGTTGCGTTTCCTAGATCAATCCCCCGCCCCAGTGTGGACCAGCCCATAATTTCAACTACTCCATGCAGACACTTTTCAATTATCTTCACTCATACTTTTATAACATGTGATGTCAGCTTAACTGGGTGATAATTAGCACACAGTGTAATATCTCTTGTATGTTTAAAAATAGGCACTACAAATCTTCTGTGCCATTCATCCGGCATTTTCTGTTTCTTAAGAATATAATTGAACAAACTTTAAGATACTTAAAGACTTCCCTTCCCAATGACTTCATCACATGCACTGGCATTTCACCGGTCCAAGTCTTTTCTTCTTTTTCATTTTCCTAAGTGCCTCTGCAACCACTTCTTCCTATATGCAATCTGACACACCCCGGTTCAGCTTACATGTTCATACATGTGTGCTAAGACATCACTGATGTTTTGCCTAAATTTAAAAGTACACAATACCCATGCTGAAAACATAACATACTTAAACCTAGACCTTTCACAATATGATGCACCCTTTGGAAGGAAAAATGATTAATGCTATCTCACCAATTCTTCTTTAGATAGACATCCAAAAGTATTTCTTGGACATGACCTCAAAATAAGCATTTGCTCTTATTTAGGAAATGACGCACACACCCTGTTTTGCTAAGATTCTAATACCTTCAAACATGCAGGACCTAGTGAACCTCAGTTTGGATGTTTATTTTGACAACCATATTCTTTTACTTATTCATGCAAGAAGGAGACCTATATTTACCATTCTAACCAATACTCCCTCCAGACTACACAGTTTTGTGAATGCCACCACAGCACAGCGGTTCAGTGGGTACACAGTTATTATGGACATATTGATAGGTAAGTCCAGCTAATGTTTAGTCTATTATACAGAGTAATTAATGAATTTTGTTTCAAGAATTGGCATAATTGCTTTTCACAGAACAAGTGAATATTCTAGATCAATTTCTGGGTTAAGTACTTCCTTATATTCCCTTGCACAAATATTTTAAAAATAATCATTTTTTGAAATTCCAACATTCCCTGTCTTTTTCTTGACCCAAATGATCTGAATAATGGAACAAAATAGGCTCTTAACGTTTTCCATATAATTCATATTAAAACCTTGTGCAAAAGTTCCATTTGAAGAAAATAAGTTGAAATTAGCTAAATTAAAAATATCAACCATTAATAATGGTTATTGGGTAGTCAAGCCCATGTTAAAGCTCAAGTCATTCTTAAATGCTGCCATTTGACAAAATGACAACCATCATAATTAATCAACTAAAACTGTTCATTAGGATGCTACTGTTAATTTGCATAATGCCATTTTATTGGTTGAAATGAGTCAGTAGAGTGAAGGGGATTATATACATGTCAAGAATTCCCATTGATAGATTATTTGTGTCAACTGTTCACAAACAGAAAGAACAATGGACTGGAGTTACCAGATCCTCCATAGCCCTGAAAATGTTGCAGTTTCCCCATCAGCAAAATGAAGACAATATTTATTTAACTTGTGGTTCATGTTTGTTAATTGCTTTGAAGAGGAAAAGGGATCCGATAAGCTCCAAGTACTTGCATTAACATATGCAAATCGCCTCCCCCCTTCGAACAAGAATAGCTGTTCATAAAATGAGAAGTACTCCCTCTACCTAAAGTGTTATTGATTTCTATTATGGTAGCACCCACTATGTGCTAGTCTCTGTCACACACATATGAAGACACAGTCCATGCCACTAAAATCTCAAAATCTTTATGGCAGCAAGGAAAACTGTCACGCCCCTTGAAAAATGCCATAGAGCGCTACACTGTCATCTGGCAAAAACATAGCTCGGTGGGAACAGAAATAAGCTTCTGAGCCTCAAGATATTGAGCTCCATGTTCCAAATCAGATGGTATATTCCTTTGTTTGTCTGTTCTAATTAAGGTCACTTCCAACTAAAATACATACAAACCATACATAAGCATGCAATTATTTTGCATCTTAACATCAGACACATACCATCCAATTCTTTCCCAGCATCTTCGTTTGCTGGGTCCATAAGTAAGTACGGCATCCCAGAGGTCTATGTCTGGAGTCATGCTGGGTTCCGATTGAGAATCAGGAGTCAGATTGGATGCTGATTGGAATCCCTCATCGTCTGATTGATCTATACTTTGAGGAACCTGTAAATAACCATGAGAGTTCAAACTTTACACATATATGCAACATTCCTTTAGGAAAATTATGCTAATCCCATTTAATTGTTGGCCTCAATTTAACAATTAATCAAAGATGTTCATTTTAAGCACTTGGGCTTTCTTATTTATACAAACAAACTTTATTTGAAACAAAAACAATAAAATACACTTCAATTTCTGAGAAGCCTTTTTTTTTGGTAGCCAATGGAATAATCAAACTAAGATATTAACAATTTGTTAGTACCAGAAGTGGAAATATTTTACTCTGAATATAATGTCAGTTCAGAAACTAGATGTCGAATAATACATAATGCTCCAGAAAAATAAATCTGTTTAGTTTTTCTTTTTCACAAAATAAGTGATTTAGGCCCTGATCCCACAAATTCTTATGCATGTGATTAAAGTGTCCATGACCAGTTCCATTGTTTTCACTGGGACTACTCATGCGCATAAAATCAGGCACGTGTTTGCAGGATCAGGGTCTCTAAACATCCCAATCATGGAACTCCCACTGACTTTGTTGGGAGCTTGGTGTGCAATGTAATAACCCAAGTCTGTGTAATAGGTCAAATTGATTGGATGCAAGTTGCTCCTAAGAACATTTAACACGGTGTTTTCCAACCTGAGAGAAGGGGTACAGGCATGTAAAGAAAAAGAGTTGCTTCCTTGACCCAGGATCCGACTCACCCCTTCAACTACAATGTGCACCCACAGCTATAGGTAAAGTGGCATGCAGCTCCTTTAAGCATGCCAGCCTTCCTTCCATGTTCCTGTCATAAATCCTAATGAAAGCTGAATCTGAAATTCCTGTGTATAGGGCTGCAGATTCAGACAGCAACCTGCTAGCTCAGTGGTGGGCAACCTGCAGCCCTTTCAGGGTAATCCACTGGTGGGCCACAAGACAGTTTGTTTACATTTGCATGGCTGCCCGCAGCTCCCAGTGCCTGCAGTTTGTTGTTCTCGACCAATGGGAGCTGCGGGAAGCGGCGACCAACACGTCCCTGCAGCCCACGCCGCTTCGCTTCCCGCAGCTCCCTCCACTGTGCTAGCCCATGCCTCTGCTCCCACCAAACTTAGTTCAGTAGCAAAAGCATACACTGCTTAGGCAAAAGAAACTGCTACTGGACCAACTTCACCCTAAGTAGCATGTAGCCTTCTCTATTAAATGGGAGAATTACAGGAGCAACAATAAAACAAGAGGAAAAAGGAAAGATTAAAAACAGAAAAAGCAAGATACCCATCCACAGGAAAAAAAAAAAGAACAAATCTGTTAATCTAGCTTCTTCTGCAGTGCCTATCAGTGCTATATAACAATACAAGACGAAGAGAAAAACAATAGCAAAAAAGAGATAGTGGAAACTATGCTTAGTGAAAAGTTTTTTTGGGGGGTGGGGGGCTACATCACTCCATCTCAAGAAGAGCTCCAATTAAAAAAAGCTTAAACTACTTATTTTATATACAAGTAGACTTTGACAGCAAAACTGGATACTAGAACAGATATGTACAGAGGGATGCTCACATGTAAATTAAATATTATGAGCAGGAAAAGACATAAGCAAATGTTTTAATCCACACCTTTGTAATGTTGATACTACTACAAGAAATGGCTGTTTATTAAAACAAAAAGAGTTTCAAAAAGGCATATTGGAAGTATGTATATACTCTGAAGTAAAATAATAAGTATAGTGAAAATAAAGACGCCATACTTTAATCGCAAGTCCAGACAAATCCGCACTGTCAGGTACTGGTGGCAGATCCAACCTGATGTCCATGTCATACGTACGGCTATGGACAAGAGCACCAAAGAGTGAGACACGTGTTTCTTTCTCAAACTTGTCACCAATAGGGTAGTTCTGTGAAAATAATCCAATGGCAGGAAGTCCAGTGCCGGGTGCAGCCTCCATTATCTGAACTGTCTTTTGAATTGTGTCATTAAACTGATACTCTTCATTTGTAATTAAAGTCTGTATATCAGCTTCAAATACACTCACATCATAATAATCATAACCCTGATATTTAACATTTCTCCCAACATACTTGTTGTTCAGAAAATAGTCCTTTTTTTGTGGTAGAAGCTGAGGGGGACCAGTTCCTACAAGCTGTACTAGAAGATCCAGAATAGAATTAATTTCCGTAAATGGTAAGCAATCAGATGTTTCCAGTTCCTCCACGAGTTTCTCCAGCCTATCTGCTTGAGCGCCCATTCCGCCAACTCTCAAGTTGAAAGACAGCATTAAAACTTTGTTTTTCACTGGAAGTCTGGAAATGTTTGAAGGCACTTTACGTGCCTCCTCCTGAAAAAGATTCATGAACAGGGCATTATATGCAACTCTTTTTAGATTTTGCTTAGCCCTTTTCTTGCTGATCTTCTGTCTGCCCAGATGGACCTTCCATGACAAACCTGTCATGTGTGCTTCACACAAATCACTAAACAGCTGTGTAATACTCTCCATTTCAACACAAATGAGTGGTAAAGTCAATTCATTGCAAATACAACTGTATGTTTGATCTTTGATTCCATTTCAAGACCTGGAAAATACAAAGAAAAAAAAAGAGACATTAGTGACTAATTACACACATAGAACCTCTGTAAGTATGTGTTAATGTACTTAAATTTAAAATATGGTTAGCCCAATATGTGTAGTGTTACAGATAAAACCAAACCAAACTGCTACATCATAACCTCTGTTTCATTATATATATAAAAACACCCTAATTTTGATCTCACGCTTTTTTTAAGAGAACAGGTTACACCATGAGAAAAAGCCTGCCGTGGTACATGAACGAACACAGGTTACGTGGTACTTCAATGAACACAGGTTACCATGGGAGAGGAGTGTTTCGCTGCCCAGCACTAACACATCCAAGTGTCTTGTCAATACTAACTTTTTTCAGGATATTTCCCTCTAACAACTTGATTAACAAAAATAACTTTCAGCTATATTTATACTATGAGTTCAAACAATACAGTATAAAAAGGGTGTGAGATAAAAATTATTCTGGTGATAGTAATAGTTTGAGTGCTAGCGTAGACAGGGAACGTAGTCAAGAGCTGCTAAAAATAGGGGCAGTGCCTTGTCCACCCTGTCCCCAGGGGCACACAAAAGTAAAAACATTAGTGCCTAGTCCACCCTGTCCCCACTGCTCCCACCAAAAGAAGTGCACCAGTCCACCTCCCCTTCAAAACATACAGTGACTGTAACCTGTCCCAGTCGAGCAAGCCCACACTCACCCAGTGACACCCCACCCCATACCCGAGGCAGCCGGCAGCTCCCAGCCCCCCAATAGTCGGGCTAGTCCCGGGGCAGCCCCCAGCCTCTCCCGCCAGGCCTGGGGCAGCCCCTCCCAATGCCCAGGGGTAGATCCCCCAGCCCCTACCCCGCGCTGAGCAGCCCCAGGCGCCTCTCAGGGCTGCTCGCTCCCGCGGGCCCACCGGCCGCTTCAGCCCGAGAGCAGCCCCCGTCCCGCTCTCCGGCTCCGGAGCGCAGCAAGAGCGCGGCGGCGCCATTGGCACGTCACGGGAGAGCGACGGGCCCCGGCAGCCGGGGGGGGAGGAGGGAGCGGGGGACTCAGCTCGCGGGCGGGGGAACAGGGCGGGGCCTGGGGCTGCTGTGGGTGGGAGAGGCGGGGCTCACGGAAGGGGGCGGGGCTCACGGGGATGGGATGGCGCAGGGGGCGGGGCTCCCATAGCGGGTGTACTGGGGGAGGGGCGGTTAAGGGGCAGCGCGGGAAGGGGGGCGCGTAAAGCCACGTGGTGGGCTTGGGTTGTCTCTTTTTGCTGGTAATTGTGGGGCGTATTTAAGGTCGCTGCGAAGGCGGGATGGTTTTGCATTGACAGGGGCGTTCCAGATCAACCTGTTGTTTGCTCCGGAGTAGGGTGACCAGATGTTCCGTTTTTATAGGGACAGTCCCGTTTTGGGGGACTTTTTCTTATATAGGCGCCCACCCCCATCATGTTTTTTCACAGTTGCTATCTGGTCACCCTACCCCGGAGGGAATTCTGCACCAAAATATATATATATATATATATGCACACACTATTTTAAAATTCTGCAGGATTCTGTAAATTTTATTTGTCAATAAATAAATGTGGAGGCTCTAGCACAGGGTGGCCCACTTTCTAAAGTGTGAAAACCAGGCACTGAGCACCAGAATCTCCCCTTGCTCTGCCTCTTTCTCTCGAGGCCCTGCCCCTCCCCCGCTCACTGCTCTCTCCACCTCCCTCAGTAGCATAGCCGGAGGAGGAGCCAAGGGGGCGTGGCCAGAGGAGGAGCCAAGGGGGGCCCCTTTTTAATGTTTGCTCCCCCTGCTCTTAGAACCTGGCTACGCCACTGACCTCCCTCCTCCCACCAGGTGATTAGGGTTGCAGGGGTAGATGGGTGACTGGGGCAGGACAGGGGGGGCAGGCGTGCTCCAGGGACAGAGGGGTGAGTGGGGAAGGGTAGAGGAGGGAGAGCCGCCGGTACCGCTCTCCACTGGAGGGAGCCCTTCCTGAGTGCTCCTCCAGGCTCCAGCAGCTGCTGCCCCACGTGGCAGAGGCTGGTTACTGCAGATAACCGGACTTAGTGTCCAGCCAGCAGTGCTAACCAGACATTCAACCAGACTTTCCCGTCGAAAACCGTACACCAGGCAACCCTACTCTAGCATGGCAGTGGGGAGTACAGGCCACTGGCTGCATGGAGAGCGGAGATCACCCAGTGACACAGAGGCTACACCCAACTCTGGCACAGTGCAAAGGCCGGACTTGCCCCAGAAACACCCCAGGGTCCTGCCCCTCTGCACCAGGTGTGGATAGACAG